GTTTTTTTAGAGGAAGTTTTATTTTGGACAATGGCTAAATCAATGGTTTTAGAATCTAATTTTACATAGTCTCTTGGAGTTGCTCTTAGGTCTTTAACAAAGATAACAAGAACTACAATACACAATCAATTTTGCATATGAAGATAAAGGGGTTGTTCGGTACAGCCGCGGCTACGGCTATGGCTGTAGACAGTATTAGCAACAGTGAAACCAAGTGTGTATCCCTGCTGCTGCAGCTGCTGCGACAAGAATCTCTGCCGAACGGGGGCCAAAACATATGTTAATAATCAACCACCAAGAGCTGTGCACCACATGGATTAGTTTAATATATGCATAAGAGGGTATCTAAACTGACTTAAAGTATATTACCCTATTCAACAACAATATTAGGGGGTGTTTGGCCCCACCCCTTCCCTCCGGCTCTGATCAAATTGACACAGCTATCATTAAAGCACTATCAACCTCTACATATATGGATACACACGGCTTATACAACATATATAGTAGGAGTCAATCTGAACACCAAATCGCCACCCTGGCAAATTTTGAGAGACCTACCCTTTTCTCTCATCTGAGAGACCCCCTCCTCTGCATGACACGTGTCATTATGACAATCTTCGCTCAGTTTCAGTTAGCGGCACCGTTGGCATATACCTCGTTCCGTTAACAGCAGGCGTTGGCTTACACCGGAAGCCACTGGGACGGATCTTGCCGCGGCGGCGACGACAGATCAAGACGTAGACCTCGTCGCGAGCATGTTCTTTCTCAAGTCTGCGGTTGGACTTCGACGTCATCGAGCACTCCGGAGACAGTGCTGGCCGCTACGACGGCTGCGAGAGATACGTCGCTGGTCTCAGCAGAGCTCGGCTCCGTGACGCCGGCGCGGCCACGTCTGCGCCGGAACTCCTCCGCGTCCAGGAAGCAGCAGCAGGCTCGGTGTTGGAACCAAGGAGCTACCGCAACGCGGTCTCTCGGCGTGGCGGAGCTCGAGCGGTTCTGTTGCAGAGGCGACCATCTGCTCGAGTTGGTCGAGGAGGGTGAGAATTGGTGATAGAGATTTCAACTCTGCTAATGGGTTTCCTTCTTGAAATAATCTCTAATAAAACTCCAAATGCATAGACATCAATCTTTCTTGTTGACCTTCCTGTATGAAAAATATTCAGAACCCAAGTACCACGACAAGAGCAGTTTGTCAGATCTGATGTAACTGTGAGTTAATATAACAGCTAACCAAAGCCCTGAGATAATACAGACCCAAAAGGTTCTAGTGATGTCGGTACATGTTTGCAAGGAAGTTGAAGCTGACGCTTGCTTTGCTAACCCAAAATCAAACAACTGAAATTTCCAGAAGGCAACAATATCACAAAGGAGAAAGGATCAACATCGACAAGTGGTGTTACAAATGGTTGCCCAATTAAGCGCATCATCGGGTGGAGGATGCAGACTGGGCCTGGTGGCGGCCGATTCGCTAGGGCCAGTAGCTGCGAGCAATCGCGCGCGCCTGCGGCGGCTTCGAACGCCGAGGCCGGCATCGGCAGGTGGTGGTGGTGGTGATAGTGGAGCAGCGGGTGGTCCTTTGTGCTTGCAGCGTCGTCCCCGATCACGGTTCACGGCGGACAGCTAGAGCAGCGGGCGCCCCGCGACAGAGCCGCTCGAGCTCTGCCATGTGGAGACCGTGCTGTGGCGTTTTCTCGTGTCGACATCGCAATTGCAGACTTGGGGAAGCGACAAGGCCCTGACTGAGCGGCCCATGAATGTCTTGATCTGCCGGTGTCGTGGCAAGGTCCGCTTCGCTTAATCGCCCTGCACAGATCTTTCGTGGCTTCTGACGGAAGACAACGCGTGCCGTTCACGGAGTGAGGTATATATACTAACGGTGTCGGAACTGAAACTCGACGAAGACGAAAGTGGGTAGGAGCTTGTTTTAAGATTGTGATATATGCCATGTGTCACATAGGCCGTGTCTAGGTGCCGGAACTGAAACTCGACGAACACTGTAGCTACAGTGACATTTTGTTTTTATTTGGTAATAATTATCCAATCGTTGACTAATTAGACTCAAAACGTTCGTCTCGCAAAGTACAACCAAACTGTGCAATTAGTTTTTGATTTTGTCAATATTTAGTACTCCATACATATACCATAAGTTTAATGTGACGGAATTTTTTTTTTGCATAGTATCAAAGTACATGGCCATAGAAAGGAGATCTTTCAGGTCAGAGAAAGGGTGGGTCTCTCAGAATTTGCCTCCGGCCACCTGTGCCAATCGGTGACATACCATTAAAACCAAATCTCGGGAGGCCCGCTTCTGTAATATAGCCCAACTACGGATAGATGAAACAATAACCTGGCCTTGTTTAGATCACCTCCAAATTCTAAGTTTTTTTATTTTTTTTTTATCACATTAATTTTTGGACACATATATGGAGCATTAAATGTAGGTAAAAAAAAACTAATTACACAGTTTGGTTGTAAATCACGAGATGGATCTTTTGAGCCTAGTTAGTCTATGATCGGATAAAGTTTGTCAAATACAAACGAAACGTGCTACAGTGTCTAGATTGTAAAAATTTGCAATCTAAGTCTTTCAGCCTGTTCGTTTATTGGTTTCAGCCAGCTCAAACCAGTCAGGGTGTTTTCTCTTCAAAAAAACCAGCACCAGTAAGTAAATTTAAATCAAAGCACCAAAGACCAACTAACTTAACAGGCCCTTTGAAGCACCAAATCATTCTTGCATAGCCATAATGACCAACAAATGTCCGCCCCAACTAGCAAGACTACAACTTCAACTCTTTTCCGCGACGCGAGTGAGTAGAATCTGGGCTTAAATAGTGAGCCCGAAATTACTTCAAAGTCCGTGTTTTGGGCATAGTCATGTTTTGGAGCCTGTTTTTACTCAAATAACACCTGATTACGAGAAATCTTGTAGTTCTAATTTGGTACTATAAATATCGGCAAACTTTTAAATAAATTTGATCAGATTTTACAATTATTTGACTTTGGGACAATGCAGTACTTTTTCCAACAACAATAGCACAGTACAACAGTCCATCGTAGAAGCGCGGCCACAAAAGTCAAAACGCTTTAAAATCCCAAAACAAAATCTCATGACTGTGACTTAGTCCAAAGGTTGTGTCGGTGCTGAATGTGTGGCTCTGATGAACTGATTGATACATTCAGCAATTCAGGGGAGGGTCCACGTACATATACATGGCTTGACTTCTCCAAGGATTTCTATTTGCATGCTATGCTACCCAACCGGAAGATCTGATCAACATACAGTTGAAGACTGAAGATTAAAGAGTCGTCGCTTTGTGGGACTATTTGCGCAGCTAAACGAACAGGTATTTGCGGTACTGTTTTGGCACCGGAAACGTTAATTATTACTCCAGTTAGGCAGGCCCAGGCGCCGTCTACATCACGAAATGTTACTCGTCACTCATGCATGCATTATCGACCTTGAAAAATGAAAAGGACATATACTTATATATGCTTATATAATACTCTCTCCGTTTTAAATTATGTCATTCCAACTTGATTGAAGAGTCATGAAAATCTAAGTCTAACCAAAATTATAGAGAGAATTATAAAAATTTATGGCATCAAATAAATATATTATGAAAATATTAATAAAGAATCTATTGATACTTATTTGGTATCATAAATGTTGTTTTTTCTCGAATACACAAAATGTTTGCGTATCTTTGTATTAAGAACGAGAAATAGTGAATGTTACAACAACGCGCCACGAACATAGCACACTAGGGAAAATGTTATATAATCGACTCTGCCTCCCCAATAGAAGGTGACCTTAGGCTATTACTCGCTAATCACGCTACCTAGCCATCACCGGCGATCAGACGTGACGCCTTGTGCGGCACCTCGGCCGCTATCCCTGTGCCTCAGCATGCGAGGGGTTGAGCTGGTTCGGGAAGAGCTCTCGCATTGCCTCAGCATGCGAGGGGTTGAGCTGGTTCGGGAAGAGCTCTCGCATCGGGAAGAGCTCTCGCATTGCCTCAGCATGCGAGGGGTTGAGCTGGTTCGGGAAGAGCTTCGCATTGCCTCAGCATGCGAGGGGTTGAGCTGGGCGACGAAGATGCTGTTATAGGGCTCCATGGCTGTCGTGGATGACCTTTGACTCCCTAAGAAAGTTGTAATAACATATAATTTGGGAGGGACACTACCCCAGTTATCGACATCACTGCCGGTTCAAAATCTGCCTTCACTGTCGGATTTTGAACTGGTAGTGGCATGTCGGTAGCGATGCTCGCTGGCTACTGCTGCCGGTGCTTCACCCGGCAGTGATAAGATTTAGAAAAACAAAAAAAAGCAATCCAACAAGTATACTGGCTGGAGCATGCTCGTTACCGCCGTTGCCGCCACCATGCTCGCTGGCTACCGCCGCCACTACATCAAGCATTTCATCCAAGAACGGATTCAACACATCAGAAAAAGTCATCCACAAATTGATTCGTGCATCCCAGACGAAAGAGAAAGGTTCAACACATCACAAATCAACCCATCCACAAATCGATTCGTACATCACAGGCAAAGGAGCAGGGTTCAACAACAACAAAAAAACTCATCTACACCAGCGGAGACACAGGAGCACCAGAAAGGGAGATTGCCGAGGAGACACGGTGCGGCTGCCTCCTCCTTCTCTGGCCGGCGCGCGCGGCTGCCTCCTCCTTCAGCGGGCGCGCCCCTCCTCCCCTCCAGCGCGACGGCCCTCTCCCCTCCCTCTCTCCCTCAGGTGATGCGGGCGAGGAGGCCGGATCCGGTGGCGGGGAGGACGGATTCGGGCTCCTCCTCGCCCTCACCGCCGGATCTAGGAGCGGGCGAGACGGCGGCGGCGCGGGCAACGCGGGCGGCGCAGGCGAGCGGCGGCGGTGGCCCTCTCCCCACGGCGGCGCTCCTCCCCTTCAACTCCGGCAGCGGCGTGGAGGCCGGATCTGGCCTCCCTACGGCGGCGCTCCTCTCCCTCCAACTCCGGTAGCGGCATGGAGGCCGGATCCGATGGCGTGGAGGTCGGATCCGGCCTCCCCACGACAGCACGTCACCGCGCTGGGGTGGCCTCGTGCCTGCACGTCACTGCCGCGGCCTCCATGGGTCCGCACCGCATGCTCGAGCACCTCCGACGGAGATGGCTGAGCGTCCTCCATCTTCACTCGAACGGCGCCGCCGCGGAGGTGATGGGGAAGAGCGGGAGCAGGCGTGGGGGCTTGGCGCCACTCCTCGGGGACAGGTGGAGGAAGAAGCCCCTCTCCGGCAAGGGATTCGGCGGAGTGGAGGCGGGTGTGGTGTGGAGGCGTGGGGAGATTCGGCGGAGTTGGGATGCCTGTTCTGATCTGTTCAGACGTTTTATCTGTTCGTCCGGCTTGGGAGTTGGGAGACGTGCGGAGTTAACTGGGATTGATAAAATTTTCGGGTCCGGAAGTATACATTAGTACCGATTTGGTAATTCGACCGATAGTAAATAGACATCATTGTCAGTTTGTATTAACAACCGGCAGTGATGTGGTCCTTTAATGTCGGTTTTAGTCCAGATTCAATTATTTTCTTGTTTTCAAGCTCGGAAACGTACATCATTGCCGGTTCTCACGAATCCGACAGTGATGAGGCCGACAGTGATGTCCAAATCTGTAGTAGTGGGAGGAAGTAAAGTCGTGGCCTAAAGATAAAATAAAACCATATAACCAGAAATATTGTGTCGTATCTAGGTGTAGAGACATTGAGTGTTCTTTGCTGACTCATTTTGGCAAACTTGCAACCAATTATCCGTCTGAATGCTTGGTTGTGTGGACGTATTGGTTGACTCATCATTTTGGAGGGTTGTGGAGAAACAATGTGAGTGTCTTAACAGCAAAGAAGTTTATCTGTTGCCTCATATGGAGAGAAAAAATGACACGTGGCTTTGAATTCTTCCACACCAAGTTTCTAGAAAAAGAAAACCCATCCAAACAGGAACAAGTCCAAGTCAGTCCTTTTGACCGGACCAAACCTAAGGTTCAATCTGTTTAGACAAACATATCATCACCATGGCCAACCACATATATATATATATAGATATTATATATATAAACCTGGGTACTGAATAATAATAATTAGTACCTGAGTCAACTCAGCGAACCCAAATCACCGACCCGAGCCAACCCACGGGCGCTCCCTGCTCCCTCGTTTTTTCTCCCGCACCCACCTCCTCCTTACCTTATCAGTTTTTTTCGTTCTAATCTCCAGATCGTGGGGGAGGACCCGGTGGAGACGCCGGTTTCGCCCAATCTCATCGCCCTCGCCGCCCCTCCACCACACGAGCCTAGCTCGCCGCTGCCCCCGCCTCACGAGCCTAGCTCGCTGCCTCCCCCTCGCCTCTGCAGCCTCTGAGGCAGGTTCAGCGGCCTCCGACGCCTCCACACCCTTTGACAGCTGCCTCTGCATCCTGGTGGCAGCCTCGTATCTGGGAGTTCGCCGCACCTGGGGCGGTCGTCCTACCCGCACCTTGCCATCATCCGCAGCCTCTCGTGCTCGACCGTGACTCATCGTCAGCTCCCGCCGCGAACTCCCGGAGAAAGGAGTGGCAACTCGCCTGGAGATGCTGTTGCCGCCGTCAGCCTACCACCACCGCCACTCCTATGTGTGCAGATCCAGGTGCCCCTCCTCCAGATCCCCTTCCCCAGCTCGGCGTTTGCACCATCTCCTTCCCCTTCTTGATTCGATTTGATGATTCACGTGCAGGATGTGTTCCCTGCGTGTGTTCGATTATCGGTGCAGGCGGCGGCCAGGAGCTCCTCATCAGTTGCAGCAAGGTGAGTTTGTCTCGGCTGCCAATGTTGGTTCAGTGCAGCTTTCAGTTACTCGTGGGGAAGGATTTGGTGCTGTTATTCCCAACTAGTAGCGTTAATCAGAATATTATATGTTTCTAGATGCAAACCGAAGTTCATTGAAACGTTCATCTGGCTTTGGATGATTGTTCCTGTAGAATATATTATGTATTTTAATTAGGATTGTCACGTATAAATGCAAACATGTCCTTCATTTATTTCCTGAACCTGCTGCTGAAATATTCGGAAATATTCTTTTCTGGCAAGGGTATTTGTTGCTAGGTCTGCTAAACTCTATAATTGTTCTTTTTATGATTTCGGCAATGGGAACTGCAATCAGGCTTGTCACACACACCAATCATATATTTCTAATGAGCAAAATATGATGATTGGTGTCTGGATATGTTGGGTTTGATGTGCAATCAGTTTTATTATACTTGGATGTAATTATATCTTCGTGTTATGGGCAACACAACCCCATCCAGGGTTTTGTTGCTTTCACTCATTAGTCATTACTTGATTTCTCTCTTTTCAGTTTATCTTCCTCAATTATGCATAATCTAAAGACACAAGGAGCTGGTCAGCTGGAACTCAGTTTGGATCAGCTTCTAGCGTGAGCACCCAAGGACCAAGGCGTTGCCTAGATGGTCATGACGGTCATAGCCAATGCCTCCATAGGGGCGTCGATGTCCATTAGCTGGGACCAGGGGATCTGATGTAGGCCACTTTAGATCCAGTAATTTATGTGTTTAATTGCTAATCTCGTTTGGCTTTGGAGCCTGACATTTCTGGGCTACTGATTACAGGCAAGAAAGGTCAACATAGCACTGATCTAATACCCCCTCATGCTTTGTTGCATACACTCAATACTTTATTTGGGCCTGACTGTTTTCTCTGCTCTCTGTTTTCACTATTACTTGTGCAGTCTAAGGACATCAGGAGCTAATGGGATTGTTGTAAGGCTCATGATGTCATGGTGTCGAACGGTTTCCATCAGCCAGGTTCAGGGGAGGTGGTCAGGAGCATTTTCATTTAATTGCTTATAAGGTATAGTTTGTCACTTGTCTTGAAGAAGTTATTATGTGCTTGTCCTGAACTTGTATTGTGCTATCATGAAGGATGCCTAGCAGCACCACACTCTGGATCGGACACCAGAAGCAATACTTATAGTCGGGGAAATGCAGTTTTATGGTTGGGACAATAAGAGTTTTTGGATTTAAATTTAATTAAGTTGTAGGGATTTGTGATGAAATGAACTTTTATAGATGGTCCAAATAACACAATAACTGTGGTCCAAAAAATAAATGCTTGTGGTTTAGGATAGATTTGTTCATAACGATTGGTAAATCTAACATAGAAAACAATAATTGTGGGTTGAAATGAAATGTTATGGTTAAGGATAAATTTGATCTTAAGGATTTGTGGATCTGATGTTGGAAGCAATATTTCTGGTTAGAATAATGGCTACAAATAAATTTTGGCTAATGAATTGTGTTAGAACAGTATTTGTGGTTTGAAAATGATCTTTTAGAGTTGACAATAAATTCATCGTAAAGATTTGTGTAGTGGACACACAAATGATGTGTCCTCCGCCTGTCTGCCACCCCAATCCATCTTGATCTGATGATTTTTCTGCAACCTATCAGTATGCTAATCTGCAAGAGAGTAGGATTCTAGGTTTTTTGTGGCCTTGCTCGGGCCTCCTTTCTTTGGCCTTCCTTCTGTGTAGCTCTTTGACCTCTCTATACAGTTGTTTTTGTTTTACTTGAGTAAAATTTATAGTGGCTTCTCCCCTTCTGTACTCACGGTTCAAAAAAAGAAGAAATAAGAAAGAGAACTTTGGCTAATGAAGAAGTTAAAGGTACAATCACTACACTCTCTTTGCAGTAGCTTAGTTAATTTGTCTATTACATGTTTAGAGCTTGCTTACGCTCTTGCACCCCCAATATTATCACCTTTTGTCCTGTGTTGATAATCCTAACTTGCTCGTCATAAATCATGACCTAATTTTCTCTTGTTAGTTGGTGTACTGAAAATCTTTATTGCCTTTCTAGCTTTGTGTAGTAAATTTAATGCCACTTGCATAATTGGATATTTAGCATCCTGAAGTTTTGTAATGGCAGCCTAGTAGATGCTCTGGAGGTGTTATTTGTTGGCTATTCATTGTACACTGATATATAGTGTATATTGAGCCTCTACTCTTTTGAAGGTTTGTGGCCAACCGTAGGTGAAGTGCTCGCTTCATCTCCGAGCCAATGGGTTCTCAACATTATTTCTCACTTATTCAAGATGTTTCCTTGCAAGTCATGATCTTATGAACCTTTTAGCTTTTTGGTTTATATTGACTCTGCGTGTATTTTATTGTTCAATAGGCTAGAAAAGATTTATGTGCTGACAATTGCTAATTTGCTACATATATTTTTTTCAGAACTAAACCTGAGATGCCACTTGACTAAACCTGTCAATTGTGCTGGCTCTTCTACTTGCAAATTCAAAGCTATTTTTCCTTGCAACTATCTATCCTATCCCATTGAGGCAGATTAGCAGCTTATTTACATGCGAATTATGCCTTCGTCTTAATCTTGCCTAGCATTGTAGTATCCCCCATTGAGCTTTGTGTATCCACTCAGACTAAAAAATCATCTTTGCAATCTGTTCTTGTCATTTCTAACTGCTGAGTTTTATACATCATTGTGCATTCTGATAGACAACATGATGATATTAACCAAATATTCTCTTTGAACTTTGTTCAGGATAGAGGCCCTAGAGGTAAGGACAATAATTGACGCTCGACCATGTCAATAGAAGGCATATCAATTCTATATTGTACCCTGCAGGTAAGGACAATAATTTTCGTGCAGATCCCACTTGGGCACTAGCGCAACCACTTGTGCAATATCTTTCATTTGTTGACCATCAATCCATCTATCAGATATAGATTTCCTTTGCTGATCTCGATAGGGAAGTGCCAAGAGAAGCCACAATCTTGCCACCTTGGTAAGTTCTATTCCTCGTGTACTCTGTTCCTAGTTAGACCTTATGCCAGTATTGCTCATTGCAGTTAATTCTAAAAATCATGCACTCATATGAACAGTTCTACAGACACTTGTGTACTGTGCATTCCATGCCAATGTATATTCAGAAATATACATCTTAATCTCCATGTCCATGCTTATCCAATATACATCTTAATCTTCAGAAATACTAGCAGACCTTAGCATCCAGAGCTCCACGCGGAGCTGCCTGCTTGGACAGGCCTCAGCCCCTGCTAAGTAGCCACTGAGCATACACTATTTAGAACTAAGTGAAGTCAAGAGGACAGTAGTTTTTATCATTGTCTTCAAGCCAAGAGTTGAGGTGATATAACAGAATTTGTTCTGATAATACTCCTTGCATTTAGCTAAATGCTTTTTGGTTAAATATGACTTTCTTTGGTAGTCGGCCTAGTCTTACCTTTTTTTTATGATGCTTGAGTTTTTACCTAGTGATCAGCGTACTGCTTGGGATGTAATCTATATTTGTGGTTTGACAACTGAACTTCTATGTTTAGAATAAATTTGGGCACAAGTATTTGTGGATCGAACTCACGAATCAATGTGATTTAAAAATTGAATTTATATGGTTAAGAATACATATGGTCTCATGACCGGTATGTGTATCCAAGACTCAAAACAATATTTGTTGTTTATTACTTGTTTGAACAAAGAGATTTTGTGGTTAGAAATAAATCTGGCCACAAGGTTTCGCGTTGAACAGATGTTTCTTTATGACTGAAATTAAACAAAGCTTGTGGTTTGAATTTTTTTTTGTGTGGCGAAGGATAAATAAGGTATATGGGAAAATGTGTTCGGATCAATATTCTTTTCTCATCATTTCAAATGTTCTGGAACTCTGGACTTGAAAAAAAATATGGTTCATGGTACAAACTTTGTCTGAACATAATGCCTTGTTGCATTTATAATGCTTGCGGCAACCCCTATGCTTTTCATTGTTTTATTGTATAAACTCTATTCTTGTCTGATCAATATTGGTTCTAGTGGATCATGATACAAAGTGAATAATGATGAACTAGGCAGAAGCAGTTTGCAACTTTGAGTTGTAAAATTCTGCAGCTAATCAAGGGCATTGCAGGTTCATCATATAATACTCCTTGGTCGAGGCACTCGAAAAAAAAGAAAGACCGCACTTGTATTCTACCTCTGAAAACAGCTCCACTTTCCATAGCAGATTACTGTCTCTTTCTCCTTATGAAAATTGAGTCATTTCATTTCTACCTAGGTAACAATTTCCCTTTTGAATTGAGTTTGCACTATTTGTCTTATTTACCTAGTGAATGTCTTGTAGGACTTATCTCCTTTATTTTAATGGTTTATGTATACTATTGCTAATTTCTTCTATTATTTTCTCCATCATGCAGGTATGTGTCTGTCAGAACAAACTGGCTGAATGGTGATTTTATCAAGGTTGCCAAGGATGATCATGCTACTAGCTCAAGAACCATAGAGAAGTTCCAGTTAGCTATGTCGAATCTAAAAGCCAAAGTAAGTGATATTGATTATTAAGACTGTTGCTTTTGACTCAGTAATAAATATATTATAGCAAAGCATGCCGGATAGCTTCTAATTGCAGAGCATATGTAGCTTTGGTAGCAAAGCATCATCGTTTCACACTCATGGCTGATGTAGCACAGCCTAGAGGATACTAACTTCGTCAAAACATGATCCGCTGGACAACATATTTGCACGTACATATTATATAGTAGACCTGGTCCTGATTCTTGATCACAGTCATGAAAGCATTGACAGGTCATTTTCTCTTAATAAGTTAAATAAAATTGTGACATTGAGAACAAGCAATTAGGTCAAAATGCAAGTATCATAATCTAGAATCCTAGAATAGTTGATTAGTTTTGGATATACATGCTGCCATATGGACATATATGCTACAAGAGACATTTTACAAATTGTGATGTTGCAATTTGTTGCGTTTGGCTAAACTCATGGTACGATTACTACAAATCCATATAATATAACTATCTAGGAACAAATTCCTTCGTGCATAGCCCTTCTAAAACCATTTGATATGCATCCCTCTAGGAATATTTTGAACTAGGAGCTCCATTTACGAAGCTTACTAGGTCACAATTTTATTTGGTGTGATTACTTCTAAAATATATATTGTCTTTTCCCTGCTGTTGTTGCTTGTGCTTGTGCTGATTATGGAAGCTCTTCTTCCTGACGAAAATCTATTGGAAGCGGTTGTGCAAGGTTCTCCCTTTGATTGTGTGGAAAGCGTGTTTCACTGTTATCTTGTTTGTTTTCCTTGGGTGCAGGTTTTTTGGTAATTTTTTTTAGGCTTAATATATATATGAGCTTAGATTTTGGTATTTTAGAACCCCATTCTTTCAGTGTTAATGCTAAATTGATTATAGGTGATAGTAAAATTCTATTGACTTGATTTGTGTGCATTCATTCCTTTGAAAGTCGGCCAATGTTCTCTTGGATTTTGGAAGTGTACCAATGGAGTCCAATTTTCTTCTGTTGGTTTGTTTTTTTCCTTCCTCTGCTAAACATTGTCCTGCAAGTGTATAAAAAGCTTTCATGGGATTATCATGACAACCCGGTGTCAATCTAAACCATCAAATTATCTTGTAAAATGATATCTTAAGGGTTTTGTGATAGCTTGGTGATGAAACTTCGTCATTCGGGAACAACAATGCCATGTTAATGCAATATGAGCAATTAAGAATGTTGTAAGATTGACCAAGGTTTTTCTTTGTAAGACTGACAAATTGACATCTTAACTTTGGCTATACATCTGGTCTGGTTTAGAAAATCCTAGTGTCCATTCCATGGGCTATTGGTTGTGCCTCTCAGCTTTAGTTGCTTTTCTTTGCTACATTTCATATTTCCTTTTTTCCCATTCAAAGGTGTTGATTCATTGATGTTTATCCAGTTATTTAAGAAAGCACAAATCAGTACCTGAGTTTGTACCATAAACATTCATTTCAAGACTACAACTATTGTTTCCTTTATATGATCTGCAAATCCATATGCATGGCATACTCTGTTATTAATCATGAAAGTTCCTTTTTAATGTTTTCTTTTGTTCCGCTTCTTTTGACAGGTGAAGCAATTGGCGGCCATTAGAGAGGGTCGAGAGAAGAAGGATGTCATAGTCTTGTTTTTTTTCTTTCAAATAAAAAGGTCATATAATTTGGCGTGAGTTGTTGGAACCCAATATTTATGATCCCAATGAAGGTTATTTAGCTGTCATAAATTGTACTGTGATTTTGTGGAATAACATAGACAGAGCTACAAAACCATGTGTATTCCAACAGCAAAGTGTATTGCAATCTTTCACGATTCATTTACTTGACAAAAAATGTTTTTGGCGAAAAAAGTTTTATGGTTCGAAATGTGTTTTGTGAGATTCATTTATTGTTGGAGACTTTTTTGTTGCCTCACCTTTCTCAATATAATCTAATAATACACGTTCAAATAAAATTTCTTGGACCCCATCCTAAAAACTAGCAGGCTAAAATAAAACCGAAGAAAAAAAATCAGCCACAAAAGCCGATTCATGGACTTTAACCCATCCAAAAAAACCCATCTGACGAATATAAAACCAACCATGACTCCACGAGACAGGAAAAAGGCCAAATAAAAAGTCGGGCACAAGAAAATGAAAAAAAACGCCGCAACCACGACTCCACGAGACAGAAAAATAGAAAAAAAAATCGTCGGCAACAAAAATGTGAAAGCTTGTACGACCACAGTTGTCTGCGGGCTCGAGTCGTGGGAATCGTCGGAGCTTGTATGAGCACAGTTGTCTGCGGGCTCGAGTCGTGGGAATCGTCGGCTGGCGTGGGGGGCTCGGGTCCTGAATAATATTCAGTACCCTGGGTACTAACTAGCGCAGTCCTATATAGATATTCTATATATATATATATATATATATATATATATATATATATAAAGAGACACACACATATACATCTCTCTCTCTCGTCACATCTTTACCTATCTCTATATATAAACCCAACCACAGCAAGTAGCTAACCAATGCAACGGAGCAATAAGAAGCAAGCAGCTCCGGCACAAGAGATGAACAAGCTTCACGTCGCCACGGTGGCTTCCCTCCTGGCGCTGGCCGCAACGACGGCCGGCGCCGTCACGTTCGATGCGACCAACACGGCGTCCAACACCCCCGGCGGCCAGCGGTTCGACCAGGCCGTCGGCCTCGACTACGCCAAGCAGGTCCTCTCCGACGCGTCCACGTTCATCTGGAACACCTTCAACCAGCCCAGCCCCGCCGACCGCAAGCCCGTCGACGCGGTGACCCTCGTCGTCGAGGACATCGGCGGCGTGGCCTTCACGAGCGCCAACGGGATCCACCTCAGCGCCCAGTACGTCGGCAACTACTCCGGCGACGTGAAAACAGAGGTTGGTGAGATCAGATGCAGTGTGTTAGTAGTAGTTTAACCCTCATGTTTCGATTTTCGAGCTCAGGCAACTATCTGAAAGTTTCGCAGGTCACCGGCGTGCTGTACCACGAGACGACGCACGTGTGGCAGTGGAACGGGCAGGGGCAGGCGAACGGCGGCCTCATCGAGGGCATCGCCGACTACGTCCGGCTGAAGGCGGGGTACGCGCCGGGGCACTGGGTGAAGCCGGGGCAGGGAGACCGGTGGGATCAGGGGTACGACATCACGGCGAGGTTCCTGGATTACTGCGACTCGCTGAAGCCGGGCTTCGTCGCGCTGCTCAACGCCAAGATGAAGGACGGCTACTCCGACGATTTCTTCGCGCAGATTCTTGGGAAGAATGTGCAGCGGCTGTGGCAGGATTACAAGGCCAAGTACGGAGGCTGATGTGTGTTGGTGGCTACAAGTGCTAGTCAGCTAGTGCGACGCGATCGATGGATCTTTATCAGCGCAGGGTGCTGCTGCTTATTATTATTGATCCATTATCCGTTCAGATAATCAATAAACCATGCGTCGACGTTAATTTGTATTAGCTTGTACTCAAAAAATATATATATAAAGGGTATTAGCTTGTACTGAAAAAAGAGGGGTTTTGGAGGGAGAAACTTGGGATATAAGCGCTGACCTTCAAGCCATGATTTCACCAAGTTTTAAGGACCCAAAAACACTCATGCCAAAGCTCAGCCAAAGCAGCAGATGAAAAATCCCCCAAAAATTCAACTCCAAAAGTCTTGAGAAACATAAATTTTATATTTGGAGAGAGAGGAACAAACTTGCACAAGATTGATAATGTAATACCCAATGGCTCATATCCACTCTGCATACTGAGTGAACCACACACTATCACCAACACAATTACTTTTTGTGCTAGCTTCACATAAAAGGGTTAACTTGAGGATGTTAATACGGTCTCTAGAAGCCTCCATCAATTACTAAGGTGGCAATAAACCTTCCCACAATATCACTTCAACATACAGGCCACTATGGGCCAAATTTAAATTAGGCCTGATATCACATATACTTGGGTTATCTCAAGACAGTTGGGATACAAGCCACTCCTAATAACAAAAAATTTAGATGACAAAAAGCTTTAAAAACAAATAGCCTTTCCTCTCTCTCTCTCTCTCTCTCTCTCTCTCTCTCTCTCTCTCTCTAACCCTAAGAAAAACTCTCAACCACTCAAATGAGACAATAATCCCAAAGTTGTGCACCACACAGGGCACGCTATTTTCCCAAATACACTTACATTATGTACTCAACCCAAATACCCCTAGGAGTAAACCTGTCCAGTTTTTTTAAATGCATCAGACAGGCCTGGAGTCTCTCCTACTTGCTTAGCCTCAACGCAAGCTTCGTGATGATGCCATGCATCCTTAGACTTAACACCCTAGTTTTGAGGCCCAAAGTGGTCAAACCTTTGTCTATGGTTGTGATGCCCAAACCTCCGTACTTGGTTTTAAGGATCAAACCAACAAACTCTCTTACACACCCCACAAGTACAACTCACCAATGTTGATGAGTGTAACTACTAGAGAACAGGCTTTAGAACGATATTCCAATTTGGCATTAGTCTCGGCATTTTTTGCCCCCGGGACTAAAGGTTCCTTTACTCCCGGTTGGAACCACCAACCGGGACTAAAAGTCCTCCAACCTTTAGTCCCGGTTAGTAACACCAACCCGGACTAAAGGACCCTTTAGTCCCGGTTGGCACCAACCGGGACTAAAGGTCCCCCGATGGGTTAGTTCAAAAGGAAAGCATCCCATCCATTGTTAGATGTGTTGTGTATGTGGGGTGGTAAGCTCGCGCGAGGCAGTGCATGAGGTCTTGGGTTCGAATCTCATAGGGCGCAGCGGTGGGAGGCATTATTTTTTTAAGCTGGGAGGATCTTTAGTCCCGGTTTGCCACAACCGGGACTAAAGAACACCACCTTTAGTCTCGGAACGCTAGTCCCGGTTGGAAAACCGGGACTAAAACCAGTTCCCAACCGGGACTAGATGTCAGTTCTGTAGTAGTGGTATGACCTCTACCAAGGTTTGACTCATTTGCGTTACTTCTTGACTTGATTGATGCCACCTTCATCATCCCTAATATTGACGCATGTACGACACCAAGTGCCACGACACCATCATCCTCCTCCTTGACTCGGTCGTGCCATCTTCCAATAGCGAAATCAGTAACTTTGATTAAGGGGGCCGGACAAATAAGATGACATCTTTAAGCATGGTAAATATATACATAATTGTATGTCTCAACAACTTTTTACAGTGTTCTCACATATGTAGTTAGTAATTGTAACAAAATGTCGCAACATATATGATAACAAAATGGATGATTTTTTGTATTTTTGTGCTGTAAAAAACATTTATAGGGATATATAAAAAAATCTACTGTGCTAGGGGGCACGGCCCCTGCTGCCCCCCTGGTTCCGCCACTGCCATCTTCACCACCCTCTTGTCCACATGTCTTCTTGCACTCTCCATGTGAGCAATGTGGATTTCTCATTTCTGGATGCTCTCTTTAATGACAAGAAAGCCTCAGTGTCACCACCCTTCTCCACCGCATGGTCCCTATTTTACCATAATAGTTTATCTTGCTTCAGGATGAGCCACTACCTTCAACATGTCTTAATATGCTCACAATGCTTGGCTAGCCAACCGACGCGCTCCAGAGCACGTTAGGATGTTAATACCTGGCACTAGGGATGAAATCGGACCAAATACGAATGAATATTATGGGGGGCAGTAGTTTCTTTATAAAATTCGGAGTCAGATATGGGTAGTGTAGGATGTGTCGGATATTGATATATCACGTACATATACGTATCAGGAATTCAAGTTCATATTCGGATTCGGGTATGGTACAGATAAAATTTCAAATTTGTATATATACAGATTATCCATTTAGTATTTAAATCCATGTTATAGTTAGATTCGTTCCTAGCGCACCTCTATTCTCTCATTCTTTCACCAGCTTGGTAGAATCCATGCTATAGTTAGATGTAGATTGGCAGGCCACTTTTCTTGCCATCTCCCTCTTCACTCAGCACAAACATGTTAACCTATATGTAGCAATCTATAACCCGCTTATATTATCTTATTATTTATAGTTGTTCTTAGCCTCTTGTAGCTTACACATTCACGGGGTGCATTGCCGGCAAGAGCAACGCAACAAATCCAGGACAGCGTGACATTTGTAATCACTGTCGCGTTTCTTATACACATGTTACAAATGAAGATATATACTACTGACAAACCAAGGAGGTAATTAATGACGATCAGTCGGCTGCGTACGGTAGAGCATGCTAGGACTCTTGTGTGGTGCACAGCAGTTCTTCAGCTGCTGTGTTGGCGCCGAGCCAATGCAAAGCTTGATACAAGAATTTGAACCACCAAACAAGATACACCGTATACCAAGCTCTGGCAAGCAGATCAAAATATGATCTGACTTGCCTGTAAATTTGACCCTGACCACCTCTCGTTCACTCACAAATTAAAGCACGTGCGCTGCACGCTACTAGCCTACCACGAGGCGTTAGCACAAGATGAGGCTCGCCGCAGTGGGCATAGCTTCTCTCCTCCTCCTCCTGGCCGCTGCCGTCACGGCCGGCGCCGTCACGTTCGAGGTGATAGGGGCTGTTCGGCTGGCTGGCCAGCACACTCACGAAATCACTGTTCATGTAAACAGTGTTTTTCGTGCGAACAGTATTTTTCTCTCACAATAATTAGCCGGAACAGTATTTTGGCTTATTTTTCAGTCCTGCCGAACAGGCCCAACTTGGCGATGACGACCCCCGACGGGCAGCGCTTCGACCGGGACTATGGCGTGAGCTACGCGGCGCAGGTCCTCTCCGACGCCTCCTGCTTCATCTGGGCGGTGTTCAACCAGACGAGCCCCGCGGACTAGAGCTGGAACTTGGGAAGTGGCGTTCGAGGGTGGGTGAGGGACAAGGTCTCTTGACACGACCCGAAGCATGGCATGACACAAAATATTTTGGACCGTGCTGGCATGACACGAACACAAGGACCGTGCCGTGTCTAGGATCTCGGCACGGCGGGCTACATGGCCCGGCCCGCATTTTGGGCCGTGTTTGGGCCGGCACGGCAAAAAAATAGTACGTAGACATTTCTATAACTATACAATGTAATTTTCTAGCATTTACTATAGTATCTCCCATCTAACTCTTGAATAGACTGTGAAAATCATTAAAACTTTCATTAAAATTGTACACACAAGATATATATATTTCGTATCACGAGCAGAAAAAGAAAACTAGTAGAGATATTTTGAGGGCCGTGCTTGGGCCGGCACGACACGAAGACGTGCCGGCGTGCCACAGGCCGTGTTTGGGCCAATGAAAAGATTCACCGTGCCATATCAGCATAGCCCGACGTGCCTCCCGTGCCGGCACGACCCGAAATGGCACGAAGTACGAGCGGCCGTGCCGTACCAGCACGGCCCGGTCCAAGTCCCATCTCTACCGTGGACCACCGGCCCGTCGACCACGTCACCCTCGTGGTGAATGCCATGGACGGCATCGCCTACACCGCCGGCAGCACCATCGTGCTCAACGCCGGCTACGTCAACAACTACACCGGCGACGTCAAGACAGAGGTACAATTAGGCCCCGTTTAGTTCCGAAAATTTTTGGCTTTTGGCTACTGTAGCACTTTCGTTTGTATTTGACAAAAAATGTTCAATTATGGACTATTTAGGCTTAAAAGATTGGTCTCACGATTTCTCGGCTAACTGTGTAATTAGTTTTTTTTTTGTCTACATTTAGTACTCCATACATATGCCGCAAGATTCGATGTGACGGGGAATCTTAAAAATTTTGGGTTTTGGGTTACATCTAAACGGGGCCTTACCTGCAATTAATTTGTTCTTCCACCCGTGCACACGTGTGGCCTCTTTTTTCCGTGGCATCCGTGCGTGTGCGCACGCGTGCGTACAGGTAACCAGGGTGCTGTACCACGAGACGGTACACGTGTGGCAGTGGGGGCTGCAGGACTACGACGTGTACTGGTGGATCTACGAGGGGATCGCCGACTTCGTCCGGCTGCGGGCCAGGTACGCGCCGGCGCACTGGGTGCAGCCCAGGCAGGGGAGCAGCTGGGACAAAGGCTACGACGTCACGGCGAGGTTCCTGGACTACTGCGACTCGCTCCGGCCGGGCTTCGTCGCGGTGCTCAACGCCAAGCTGAAGAACGGGTACAGCGACGATTACTTCGTGCAGATCCTGGGGAAGTGGGGAAGTGCGTGCAGGAGCTGTGGCAGGAGTACAAGTAAGGATGAAAACAGACGGCCCCGTTCCATCCGCAACCGTATACCGTTTTTTCCCGTTCGTTTTCGTTTTTTCCATGATAAACGGAAATGGGACCGAAAACGGGACAGAGTGAAACGGGACCAGGACCGAAAACGGTAGAGCGTTTGTCCATCCATATTTGTGGTATCCCGTTATCGACCGGGATATCCCGTTTTGCTTCCCATTTTTATTAAGTCCGGGATAGGCTTACTAAGAGCTCAGTCCATCCATAAAGCTGGCCCAACTTGGCCCAAGACACAACACCACACCCGCACCTTCATCCCTAACGGCGACGTGGCCTCCCCCGCTAGCCGTCATCTTTCTCTTCCTCCAATCCTCCGGTGCCAGACGCTGGCAGCCGCGCCCTCGGACCGACTGATGTCGCGGGCTGGAGGACGAGGAGATCATGGTGGCTGGAGCAGGTGGTCACCGCGCTCGGCGTGGAGCGCGGCACCGGCCGCGCGCACTGCGCCGGCTCTGACAGTCTGCTCACCACCGACGTGCTTCTGGCAATGCTGAATCGCTTCTTCATGAACGTCGATGTGCTCGCGCACGCCGGAACCATCGTAGGCCTAGCATAGTTTGCATTGCAACCAGCCATGCAGTGTCCAACTGCTAATTTGTACAAATTGCTGTTAGAAAGTTATTGATTGGAGACCACTCCGCATTTGATTATGTGTGTTCATATCGATTATTATTAATCTCAAGTTCTGAACTTTCAAGCATTCGAGTAACTGGTTCACTATAGGCATGACCTAAACAAATTTTGCTACTAAGTACTATCTGACAGTATTCGTTATTTGACCATAGCAGAAATATCAATCAATCTGAAGAACTGGCTTGCCATGATTCAGTGATCAGCTTGCTGCCTGGAGTACTTATGACAGCAGAGAAACAATGTAATAATATTTATGTGTGGTCTGCTATGTGTATTATCTATTTACTAATGCACCTTGGTTTGTATATTTGAGCTATCATATGCGCCGTGCAATCCCGGCTTAAGTTTCTGCTTACCGTTCGTTTCCGTCTATTTTCCGATCGTATTTACCCGTTTTCGTATTACCGTTTATCCCGCTACCGTTTTTGTTCCTGGCTGTCCGGCTTCTGCTCCCGTTTTCGTAAAAAAAATATGAAAACGAAAACGGTAGAGCTATCTTCCGTTTGTTTCCGTCCGTTTTCATCTATAACTAGGTTCGTGCCCGTGCGTTGCTTCGGGACAGCTAAACTTTTATACTAAAAACATAAAGATCGCACGATAAAATAAAAATACTATGAAATTAAATACGTTAAAGTGATATTTAATCCAAAAGTCAAAGTTCATGAAATTAACACAGTCTCAGAGAGCGGGACATCATAGGCTCACCAACTCTACTGTATACACTTTTCCGTGCGTCACAGCGGCGACAAATAATGCCCTAATAATTTGAGCATGAACATGTTGTATTATTACAAAAAACGATAATGTGAGTGTGATGATCGGAATGTCAATATTACAAATTGAATTTTGTGCATGGCTAAAATTCTTATTGATGGTTTGCAATCATCAAAGTATGCATTTATAGTTTTGTACATTTGTGCACACGCACTAAAAAGTTCATATCACCATAACAAGATTAATTGATTCCTTAACTTTTTAGAACTAACCATCTCTTAGAACACTTCAACCAAAAAATGCTTAGTGACAGACTTACAACCGCCATGTGTCAAACAAGAAAAATATCTCATGTTACCACTTCCATTATATCACTATTTTTCTATCCTCCAAATTCAGTACAGCATCTCCTATAACTTCCTCTAAGATCACCAAAAATAATTGCAACTCTATTTTTAGCATCCACTACTTTGAACAGTTGTCCTAACCCAGCAATCTAATCTTTGGAAAGCTATCCCATTTGCCTTGAACTGGTTGCCAAATTATGCCATTTATGAACAGAATTGTGCAAGCATTAAAAAAAATTGATCCTTTATATTTTGAATGCCACAAGTCTGCTAACAGACATAATCACGCACGCCACTTTCAATACAGATTGTTGTACCTTTTCGGCATAATTTACAAACCTAAAATAGATTACAAGTGAGAATATGCTGACTCAGACACACTAAAGTCTAAAATAGAGTTCAATGCCAATTGATCATAGAATTGCTATTTTCAATAACGCTTTGATATATTTTTAGTTTTTCTGTGTTTCCTAAATGCAGAGACCATAAGATTTTGGTTATCAAGAAAAAAGGGTAAGCAGCTGCATGCCATACCTGATCCAACCATACTGTTTATTTGCAAGTGATTTGGCCCCCAACCTTATATGTTGATCATGCCATTTGCTCAAGGTGTCGCTTTCGCTGGAGCTCAACAACCTAAAAGAAAACAGAAGAAATACATGAGCCAATAGTGTTAGAACATGCATAGGTGGAAGGAAAGCCCATATATATATTCACCCAAATTGGTTTGCTTAAGAATACATGTATCAGCACAAATGAAATTAGAATTGAGTGCCAATTTAACTGGACTCAAACAAAGAACCATAATCACCATCTGAGTATTGTCACACTTTCAAAACAGGGGTAAGCCACAAACAAATATCAAAACAACAATGGCTAGATTGTAAGCCTGTAAACAAAAAAAAATATATCATAACAATGGCTAGCTATTTCTTGACTCAATGCACTGACGAGCAAATCGGAGAAACCTAATTTCTTAACCACCTTCAAAAACTCGCACCGTTGAATAATAATGTTTGTGGCTTCTTGATATGTTTTTAGGGATCCTTTATTGTAAATACCAAGTAATTTTTGTCCTGCACATACCACAACAGTCACATCTCAGCTGTTAATATCATGAATTTTTGAACAATAGTCATATACAGCTTGAAAAGGATGATTCCACCTTCCTTTTTCAGAGTATAGTGCACATATATATTTTTATTATGACATTTGAGTGTACACACTATATCTTATAGAGCATACTTGTAAGTACTCCTATTTTTATACAGTTCGTGCATTAGAAAGTACACTTTTCCCTTATACTGAACCAAAGAACAACCTTTGCCCTTCAAATACCAAAGTAATAAGTACTTAATGCCTAGATTTCTAGTACCAATAGTGATAACTGCAGGCACAACCGTTGTCCAACCAAACAAGACATTGGCGTGACTGTTTCGTAATTAGAGCCCAATTTATAACGCATATTAACAAACTACAGTAAATGAATAATCCAAATGGGAAGGACCAAGAGAAGGTGGACAAGGCAAAATGAAGCAAGAGCAGCGGGCTCACCAAGGCTTGCGCTGTTGGGCTCGAGAAACTCGGCTACGCTCACCACCGCCTTCAAAACACAAACAGAAACCTATCAATGTACTATCAAAAGTCTAGTGAGCAAAAATACATCTGAATACCTTTTTATTGATTTTTCATCACTAAAGAAACAAACATCCTCAGGACACAAGGCTCACTTATTTAGAATTCTGCAAATGGATTGAATGAAGGCTCAGTTGCAACAACGCAATATGCTGGAATTTGGTTGTAGATGCTTCCTGAGTTAATATTATTTGTTGAAATAGGTAGCTAGGTAGCTGTAAAAATAAGATCATTGAGCGAGCACCAAACCCCAATCCCAACTGATAGAAAGGGAGCTCAGTTTTTTTATGAACTGGAAGCTGTTGGCCGTGGCAAGAAACAGAACAAAAATTGGTTAAGCCATTACTTTGTTGCAGAATATCGAAGGGACAATATGAATATATTCTATTTTCTAGACACCATTTGGTCACAAATAATCTGAAGCACAATGAATATAAACTGCAACTTTTCCCAAAAAATTATTTATGTATGAAATCCGTATAGTTTCTAATTGAACAATGCAAATGAATACAGAAGTACTTGATTAATTGTAGCAGCTGAGGACAAGCATATCACACATATTTTATCGAATAGATTGTTAGCGCTGAGGTTTCCACAAATGAAGTCGACTTACCTTCATGGAGATCCTGCTCTGATGGTTCTACTTGGCTACTTTGCATCTCATGCTTCTTCATCAGTGTGCTGTATACAAATGCAATGCGAGCATGCGGCTGGCTCCCCATTTACATGAACCCTGAAGCTGCTTATAACGAAAGGTTTGTCATCGGCGTGTGTTGCTATACAGTAGAAAGAGCTGAAAAAAAATCAAGGAATAGCCCTACTTCCTTCGCCTGGGTGCTATTATCATTAAGGGCTAATAACTCAAATATTCAACATCTGGTTCGTACAGCTCTCGGGCAGCTTCTAAAGCAAGTAGAAATTTCTACGGCTAAAGGAAGGAGTCCATGCCGCCATGGAGGCTGATAACCCAGATCAGAGAAAGTAATACTTGAGCGACCTCCGCGAGGGCACCGGTGACGCGGACCTCACCCTAGCCCTGCCAATGGACCCTGGCTCCACGGGCTTCCGGCGCCACCGCACGCTGCCAGTACCGCGACCCGAGGCGGCGGCGGAGTAGCTGAGGGTCTACGTGAGGTCAAGTATGCCGAGTTCCTACATCCGCTCCATGTTCTCCTGGATCCTCCGGCCCACTCGCGCTCGTAGTCCCCAATCACCTCCACCTCGGCCACCGCCAGCGGGGACGCCGGGCTGCCCGACGGCTGGTCGGGGGCAGGGTTCTTCGACGGCCGGCCCCGCCGTCTTGGGGCCAGAGCAGCACATGTAGGCGGCGTGCACGCGGTAGCGGCAGTAGGCAGGATCGGAATAGCACGTCCTCCAGGCAGCACGGAGCAGCACGGGCAGGAGGCATGCCACGAGGTCCTCTAGTCCCTCCTGCGACAGCCGACAGTGGATGGATCGGCTGGTGAGGAAGATGGAGGATGTCAAAGGTGAGGGCGATGATGGAGAGGACCGTCCGCGACGGTGATGACGGCGCAAGATCCTGGCGGGTGACGGCGATGATGGGGCGGTGGCTGAGGACAACAGTAGCCATGCGTGGAGAGCAATTGTCTGTATGCGGTCGAATCTCAGGGCGCGAGCTGGATGATGATTCCTTTTCTCACGGATGAATCACGGGGAGCAACGCGGATGGTGGAGGACGAATCGTGGGGTAGCGACAAGGATGGCGGTTTCCTTTTATATCGCACGAGGGAAGCATGGTGAAAGCA